TTTTATTTGTGTGTGTGTTTCTGTCTTTGTTGCGTGTGTCTGTCTTTGTTGTTTGTGTGTGTGTGTGTGTGTGTGTGTGTGTGTGTGTGTGTGTGTTGTCATGTATCTTCTATCCCGCTTCTGTCTAAATGACTGTCAATACCTTACAGCAGTATGGCTAAATTCTGCCATTTTCGGCCAACTCAGCGCTTGACCTGTCTTATATACATTGTTCTTCTAATGATCTCTTCACCAGTGATCCCATCAAAGACACAAAGATGACAAACACATGTGTGTGGTACCAAAACTGCATCGCAGATATATTGAAAAGCTTTAAAAGGAAAGGCACAGACACAATTATATGTAACTAAGATATGACTTCTCCCGGTTAGTAAATGATGTTAGCTCTACTGAATCGTAAATTAGAGATATCTGTAGATATCTCACAATACCTGACACAACAGTCCGCAGCACCTCTATATGTTAAATTCTAGATTACATTTTCCTTATAACTACAACACCATGCACATTGTAGGTTACAAGTAACTGGAAGTAGGCAGATACTATCTCAATCTCACTATTCAGTAAATGTCAATAAAAGTGTAGCAACATGTCTATTTGCAACGTCATGTCGTCTTGTCAACTAGCAACGCTCCTTATAGACTAGTATGTAAGCAATATCTAGTCAAAATGTCACAGGACGTTATTGGTTATATCACTGCATGAACAGTAAGATAATAAACTAGAAAGGCGGTTATACCGGCTATACAGATACAAATACAGATACAGATAGAAGTCTACATTTATAGCTTATATTAGAATAGTATTCCGCTAGCCTTTAAGATAGAAGATAACAAAGTTAATATTAACCTGTGACTATATAGGCTTGCTAGCTATCTGCATACATCTTAATTAAGAGCAATTGATATTCAATTATTCCACAATGTTTGACAACCAGCCTCACTGCACTTTCATAATTTCCAATCTTCTACATTTTGATCTTCTTACTTGCTGCTGAATCTGACGGTTGTCTATTGCAAATATAACGGCTACCATGTCGAACCCAAGCACTTGATGACTAAATGAGAAACAAACTGATAATCTCCAACAGAAAAAAAAACTGACTCACCCAAATTTTCGGAACGGTCTTTAGTTCTTTATCAGCTTTCTAACCCAAGCTCTGAAGACACGTGGATTTTGCTACGCGTGACTTTATAAGCACTGGGTCAAAGTTCGTTGAAAGTTGGTACCACCCCCGTGTCAGTCGAGTAAATGTTTTGTTTGAGTATAGTTTATTTCTCATTATGTAATTTACCAATTCAGATGGAATTTCATGATAATACTTGATCGATACGCCTTTCTTAATGTTTCCACAGAACTCTGATGTTTGATCTCTAACAGATTGGACATGTCGGCCGTCATGTTTGTGACATTGTGGTGGCAGTAATGGTACCAGGAAGCTCCCTTCACCGGCTTTTTTTAGCTGACGTTTTTTTGTGCTTGTGTTAACATTTCTTCTTTTGGTGTCAAATAATAGAACATCACAGAAATATTGACTGACTAATGGTACTATAAATTTGGTTCTTTAAAAAATCCAAAATTTGCCCAATTTGTTATATGACATTACTGTGCTATGCTTCGAAATATTCGTCAATTTAATCTTCTTAATTCAAACAAATTGTGTTACGTTTTGTTAATTTACTTTCCCCATCAAAATCATCCTTTTGAGTGTTGTCAGCTTTCACCATGATTATATATGCTTATGTGTATATTAAGAA